ATCAGATCAGGAGACCAATATTTCAACTTCATCAAATGAATTAGTTTTTGATGCTGGTTTGAATGAGATGTTGACTTCTTTGAGATAAACACATCAGAAGATCAAAATCTCAACCTCACCAAATGACTCAACTTCTGATGCTGCTTTGACTTGCATGCTTATTTCACTCAGATAAGAACTTCAGAAGACCAATCTCTCACTTCACCAAATGAGTTAGTTTTTGATGTTGGTTTGAATGACATGCTTATTTCATGAGGCAAGCACTTCTGAAGATCAAAACCTCAACTTTACCAAACACCACAACTTTTGATGCTGGTTAGTTTAAAATGCTTATTGTCGCGAGTGAAACTCTTCAGAACACCAAAACCTGAAGTTCACCTAATGACTGTAGCTTTGATGATGGTTTGACTAACATGCTTATTTGATTGAGATAAGCACTTCAGAAGTCAAAAATCCCAACTTCACCAAAGGACCTAACTTTGCTCGCTGGTCGGACTAACATGCTTATTTCAGTGAGATAAGCACTTCAGAAGTCAAAACTCTCAACTTCACCATCTGACTTCATTTTTGATACTGCTTTGACTAACATGCTTATTTCACTCAGCGAAGCACTTCAGAAGAAATGAGTTAGCTTTTGATGTTGGTTTGAATGACATGCTTATTTCATGAGGCAAGCAGTTCAGAAGGCTAAAACCTCAACTTCACCAAATGACACAACTTTTGATGTTGTCTTAATTAACGTGCTTATTTCAGCGAGATAAGCATAGCTGAAGACCAAAATCTGAACTTCACTAAATGACTCAAATCTTGATGTTGGATTGACTAACAGGCTTCCTCCAGTGAAATAAGCACTTCAGAATTGAAGAATGTCAACTTCACCAAATCACTCAACTTTTCATTTTGTTTTGAGTAACATGCATATTTGAGTGAGATAAGCACGTCAGAAAATCAAAGTCTCAACTTCACCAACTGACTCAACTTCTGATGTTGTTTTGACTAACATGCTTACTTCAGTGAGTACAGCTCTTCAGAAGACTAAAATCTCGACATCACCAAATGACTCAACTTTTGATGCTGTTTGGATTAAAACACTTCTTTCAGCGAGTTAAGCACTTCAGAAGTCCAAAATCTGAACTTCACAAAATGACTCCAATTTCGATGTTTCTTTGACTAACATTCTTATTTGAGTGAGCTAAGCACATCAGTAGACATGAATTTGAACTTCACCAAATGACTCAATTTTTGATGTTGGTTTGAAAAACGTGATGATTTCAGTGAGATAAGCACTTCAGAAATCAAAAATCTCAACTTCACCAAATGACTCAACTTTTGATGTTGTTTTGACTAACGTGCTTATTTTAGGCGAGATAAGCAGATCAGAAGACTAAAATCTGACCTTCACCAGATGGCCTAACTTTTCATGCTGGTTAAATTAAAATGCTTCTTTCAGCGAGTGAAGCACCTCAGAAGACAAAAATCTGAACTTCACCAAACTTCATCAACATCTCAACTTCACCAAATGCCAAAACTTTTGATATTATTTTGACCAGCGTGCTTATTTCAGCGAGATAAGCATATCCGAAGACTAAAATCTCAACTTCACCGGATGACCTAACTTTTGGTGCTGATTAAATTAAAATGCTTATTTCTGCGAGGTAAGCACTTCCGAAGATTAAAATCTGAAGTTCATCAAATGACACAAATTTTATGTTCGTTTGACTAACATGCTTATTTCAGCCAGTTAAGCACTTCAGAGGATAAAATTCTCAACTTCCCCAAATGACTCGACTTTTGATGCTGGTTTGACTGAAATGCTTATTTCAGCGAGATAAGTACCTCATACGACAAAAATTTACAACTTCACCAAATGACTTAATTTTTCATGCTGTTTGGACTAACATGCTTATGTCAGTGAGATCATCACTCCAGAAAACCAAAATCTGAACTTCACCAAATGACTCAAGTTTTGATATTGGTTTGACTAACATGCTTATTTCAGCGATTTGAGCACTTCAGAAGGCTAAGATCTCAATTTCACCAAATGACTCAACTTTTGTAGCTGGTTCGAAGAAAATGCTCATTTCAGCGAGTTCAGCTCTTCAGTAGACCAAAATCTGAACTTCACCAAATAACTCAAATTTTGATGTTTGTTTGAGTAACGTGCTTATTTCAGTGAGATAAGCATATCCGAAGACTAAAATCTCAACTTCACCAGTTGACTTAAATTTTGATGCTGGTTAAATTAAAATCTTTATTTCAGCGAGTTTAGCACCTCAGAAGCCAAAAAATCTAAACTTCACCAAATGACTTGATTTTTGATTCTGGTTAGACTAAAATGCATACTTTGGTGAGGTAAGCACTTCAGAAGATTAAAATCTGAACTTCACCAAATAACTCAAGTTTTTACGTTCGTTTGACGAGCATTCTTATTTCAGTGAGTTAAGCACTTCGGAAGATCAAAATTCCAACTTCACCAAACGACTCAACTTTTGATGCTGTTTGCATTAAAATGCTTCTTTCAGCGAGTTAATCACTTCAGAAGTCCAAAATCTGAACTTCACAAAATGACTCAAATTTCGATGTTTGTTTGACTAACATGCTTATTTGAGACAGATAAGCACTTCAGAAGGCAAAAATCTCAAATTCACCAAAGGAACTAACTTTGCACGCTGGTTGGACTAAAATGCTTATTTCAGTGAGATAAGCACTTCCGAAATCAAAAATCTCAACTTCACTATTTGACTTAATTTTTGATGCCGTTTTGACTAATATGCTTAATTCACTCCGATAAGCACTTCAGAAGACCAATAACTCACTTCACTAAATGAGTTAGTTTTTGATGTTGGTTTGCATGACTTGCTTATTTCATGAGGTAAGCACTTCCGAAGATCAAAATCTCAACTTCACCAAATGACTCAAATATTGATGTTGTTTTGGCTAACATGACTATTTCAGCGAGTTAAGCCCTTCAGAAAGCTAAAACCTCAACTTCACCAAATGACACAACTTTTGATGCTG